AACCGAAATTTATTGAATCTGTGTCAGGCTGGTTTAGGTTTTGACACTGTTTCAGCCTTCTGCCAGCATTGAGGTTGAAAGTTATGCTTTAAAATTTCCATTTGAGGTTCTGGGCACAGGCACCGAGTCAGGTAGGAACGTAACGGCACAAATGGATCGTCACTTCAGAAACAGCTTTAGAGGTTCTGAGCTGGTTGTTACCCTCTTTCTGCTGGAGGCTGCTGCCCTCCTGCATGTCAGCACGACGTCTCGGCTCGTTTCGGATAGGAAACAGAATTAAACCGGGCCGGCTGCCTTGGGAGTGCTCGGATGGCCTCCCAGCAACACGGGGCAGCAGCGGTGGCAGCCCCTGGGAGCAGATGCTGAGGAGTGTGAGGGGACCAGGGGCATCAGCCAGGTTCACAAGGGCTTGGTTGTGCCTCTCCTCGTTCTGGCTGGTTTTCATTTAGGTTTTTAAGTGCTTGATTTTTTTCAGTGGGACTAGAGATCGTAACTCATTTTGCTTCCCTTGCGAATGCCGTCCTACGCGTCTGTGTGAAGTGCTGCTTTGTCTTCAGTGAGGGTACGACTCCAGCATGATTGCTTTCCTCCCTGTGCCCAGCACCAGCTGACTACCTGTTCTTTTCCTTGCAGGCAGAGGATTCACAGATAAAGTGGATCGACTAAAACTGGCAGAAATAGTAAAACAAGTTATCGAAGAGCAGACAAACTCCCATGACTCTCAATAGCTGGAGCTTCTTAATCTTATTTTTTTTACCATTTAAGATTTATTCTTTAACTGTAAAAAGTATTTTTATGTAAATTAATAAATCATAATTATTTCATTAAATTTCCATACTGCTTGAAAATGCTGTATAGTTGTAGATACAAAAAAAAAAATCATTGGTACTGTAATATTTTTTTAAAACTCAGTTCCTTGAGGTATATATGATCACTTATGTACTGTTATTCATGAGTCCCCCAGACGGGGCAAACTGTATTGTTAAAGACCATTCTTTTTCTTAACAACCAGTACAGAAGCTGCCTTCCATCTGCCATACATACAGCCACCTGCAGTGACTGTGTACCTGAACCAGACAGCCACAGTTCCTCAACACCCTGCTCAGTAAGTACTCGAAGCAAGTGCTGGGAAACAGAGACTTGATAGCTAACCCTTTGCGCCTAAATTCCGAGTCTAGAGGCGACTAAACAGCCTTCTGTCTCGCGAGGTGACCCCAGAGCCACGCGTGGCCTTGCCGAGGGCACCCGAGTCCACATGCTTGCTGTGTCTTTCAGTTCTGATCGGCAGCCCTCCCCTTCCATTCTTCCCCGTCTTCCTCAGACCTTTTTTAAGGCTGAATTGGCCATTCAGACTATCATGCTGTTCGACAGCAGGAAGAATGTTGTAGTGACTTATGTACCAGTTATTTTGATTTTCACGGTGGGATCTTCTGCAGACAGCAGGAAGCGAGGGGTGCGTTTGCTCCAGCCCCGGATCAGCAGTGGTGTGTGTTCCACCCGTGTGCTCCGTTCTTTCCTTCCTAGAAGATCCAGCACTTGGTTCCACACTTGCCCTCTTGGCTGAAAGAGATCATCGGGGCGAGGGCCGTAGTGCTGCTGTGTGAAGCCCCCGGTGACCCTTCTCCGTGTCACCCTCGGGAGTCCCCGCTGCCCATCGCTGATGCCTTCGAGCTCCTGGGGAAGCGACCGGTGCAGGGCTGCGGCTTGGCACACGTCCTTGTGCTGCCTGGAGCCTCACGCTGCCCGGGGCAGGTTCTTACACTAGTCTGGAACATGGGCTCCAAAAGCTGCTTTTTTTTAATCTTAATGAAACAAACAAATGAGAAGAATCTGTACATAGTTCTAGTTTTCTACCTTCTGATGCTTTTCTTTCTTTTGAGACCGGTCGAAGGCTTTTTATAGAGATATTTTGGTACTAAACCCGTGCAGACACTGCGTGAGTTTGGTCTGCAGACTGAAGTGCCAATTCAGGGCTATTAGTAATGACTCTCGAACATGCTCATATTTCGTAGCTCATTACTTTTGGGTTTACATTTCCAAACCTGAGCCATGAATCTCCCGATTTACAGCAGTCCAGCCTTGTTCTTGTTTGTCTTTTTTCTATGCCAGACTTCCTGGCGACCTTTAGCTCGGGTGGCAAACCGGTGTCTGACTCTTTCTATAAAATTTTGTACACAGACTGAGCTTTTCTACATGAAGGAGAGGACTTCGTCTCGCGTTCCTCGTCGGCACCTTGTCAGCTTTCTTTAAATCCTGTTGACAGTTTTCCAATGCCTCATTTATTGCAGAGGGAGAACCCCAGTCCCTGCGTAACTGTCACTTTCTCTGATGAAGCAGGGAGTTTTGGCGTGAGCCACGCCTCTGACACTACGTGGAACACGTGTGCACTGACATGTATCCGTGACGACTGTAGAGAATTAGCGGGAGACGAGAGTATTTGTCGTTTCTGGGTAGTATCAGCCAGTTTTCAGGCCCCGTTATACGCGATTCTGTCCTTGCCCTAAACCGTAGGTCGTGTCAACACCCACACAGTCTGAGTGCAATAGATTATTTCCGTCTGAACTTGAAATCCATGTGGGTTTTCTTCTGGGAAGTCTCATTGAGCTGGAACTCTTAAGTGTGGCAAATAAATAGGGAATATAATATAATAATAAATAGGAAATAAACTAGGGAATCGCCTTTGGATGGGAGTGCAAAGAATTCCCTCCAAAAGCACTTGGCACCTGTGCCCTCCGAGGGGGAAAGCACCGAGGCGGTTTCTCGGGAGCAGGAAGGCGGGTCAGACTGTCGCGGCTCTGGTGGCGGAGGCAGCGGAGAGGGCAGCCAGGGCACTGCCCTGGGCTGAGGGTGACGGCGGCAGGGTCCGTGCACTGTTGTCTGCGCGTCCGTAGGAGACGGCCTGCGCCTGCCGCACCGGTGTGCGTTGGGTGCAGCGGGGAGCACCTTGGGGGGCGAGAGCAACGGCGGGAGCTCGGAAAGAAGCGGAGAAGGTGGCATCTGAGCGGTGGAGGGCCCCTCCTCTCCTCATCCTCCCTTATCCGACACAACAGTGTCATTCCAAGCGGCGGCTGCTAGTCAGGTGGGTGCGTTGGTGGCCGACCATGAAGTGTTTCAGCGTTGGGCGGGAAGTCAAATTTCGAAGGGCTTTTTGTTCTAAGGAAGTGCTCTTTATGGATTTGCTATAGATTTTATAGTCTATGATAAATAACGGCCTGGTCTAAAATGGAGGGAGGGAAGGAGATTGAGAAAACACAATTTGAAGATTCAAGGTCAAATGGTTTTATTTCTATGCGAAAGTTGATTATTTTCCTCTTTAAAAAGTTCAGTGTTAGATTTTAAAATGAAATACGCTTTCGTGGATTCAACTGCATACTTGAAAGTAGGATTTTCCTTCCTCCCTCCTGTGTTTCTCGGTTGACATAAAGGCAAGACACCTTGTCGAGGGTTTTACTTGGTAATGAATCTACTGATCCTTTATAGCAGACTGTGAATATTGTAAATATCTTGAGATGGAAGGGTTGTGTGGGATCAAAGAGGACGTTCTTTGTGCAGACGCCTAAAGGATATGGGAAAGCTCTGTAGGCTTTTTTTTTTAGATTTTTATTTAAGAGAAAAATCTTGGAAATCATTTGACCTTTTCAAAATTTTATGTATATCTGACTTCTCCTGTGACTTGATTATTTTAAGCTATATATATAATGTTAAAAAGTTAGAAGAACTTGACTAGAAGGAAGAGTTTTTGATTGGAAATAGCAACGTGTCAAAGTTTTGCTGTCATGACTTCAGGTTTTTCTTTGGGAAATCTGAGTCTGTCCTCACACCGCGTTTAACTCCTGAGTGTTAAAATGTTTTTTCATTTCTCCTCTCCAGTGTTACCTGTAACATGTTTATTTTGGATCAGTATTATACTGTAAATACTATGCTTTGGTGTATATAAATGATTTTACTAAACAGTTACCGGCTGCCTTTGTTTGGTTCCTGGAATTGCCTCTTCCCAGCGCAGCTTTCCATTAGATGGCAGCAGGCCCTGCCTGGTGCTCTGGGTTAATCCCCTGGGGGCTGTAGGATTTTTCCTGTAGTCAGGGAAGGGAGAATATGAAAATACTCTCCTTGAGCGTTTGGCTTATTGACGGCCACCAGCCCTTGTCCCACGAGCGTCTGGGAACGAGCGCGGCACTGAAAGGAGGCGGTGGGAGGATTGTCCCAGGCCACCTTCTTTGTAAGGGTTAACGTCCATCTGCTGGGTACCTCCAGGAGTTGGTGTGTTGGATAGTGACTGTCGGACACCCCAGGGGTGGGAGGAGGACGTGTGCCCCGAAGACACCTCTCCCCTCTCCAGCAAGGAAACTCCCCGAGACAGCGAGAACACGCAGCGATGCGCCGGGCGGGGTGAGGAGCCCCGTGAGGGTACGGAAGGCAGGGCCCAGTAGCAGCCAGATCGTTGTTTCCCTGGTAATCCCCTGCTGCTTCCTTCTTGCCAGTGCTTAATCCCCTTTTAAACAAATTGCTGCAGCGGCAGCTGGCTCCTCACGCTCGGCAAACAGGGTCAGCCCGAGCGGGGCGCAGCAGGCTCGGCGATGAGATGGGGTGTATTTAATGTGCTGCTCGCTCCTGGCTGTGCCAGTGCCCGGCGCGTGGATCCCGCCCCCGGGGAATCGTTACGGTTGGAGGGGGCTGGAGAAACAGTTGTCTGTTGGGCCCTTCTGTTCCAGCCCCAAGAGCGGCTCTCCCCCAGCTTCCCGCCCGGGCCGTGCCTGCGCTCCTCGCTCCGCTGTGGTTGGATGGCGGGCTGGCTGGCTCCCGGCGTGTCCTGCGTGCCCCTGGGCAGGTAGCCGAGGAGGAGCTAGGAAAAGGCACGTTGGGTGAAGGGAGCAGGTGGCGAGCAGGCCGAGCGGGGAGGACAGGCCCTGAGGGAAGGTGCCCTCCTGAGGTAAAGGTGGGTTTTCTGGTGTCGCATCGCCCACGTTTTCCTCTTTCCTCCAGCCTGGGAGGCAGTGACCATGGCTCCAAGCTGGACACGGTCCAGATGTTCCCTAGTGGGCAGAGGGCTTCTCCTCCTCGGACTGGGCCTCCCTTTCCTGCTGCCCTGCACACACTGCAGCCCCCAGCCTTCCTGGGGCTACAGCACCTATGAGGTAGTCATTCCAAGGAAGCTTGGCCCCAAGGCGGGGAAAGCCAGCCAGGACGCCGTGTCCTATATCATCAGCATTCAGGGGGTGAATTACACGATTCACCTCAGGCCGAAGGACTTTGTGATAAAAAACTTGCCCGTGTTCACTCGTGACTCCCAAGGGGAAATCGTGGCCCAGCAGCCGCACGTGCCAGCAGACTGCTATTACCACGGCTACGTGGAAGGCCTCCGGGACTCCGCAGTGACCCTGACTACCTGCTCCGGGCTCAGAGGACTGCTGCAGATTGGAAACTCGAGCTACAGCATCGAGCCCCTGGCAGCTTCCACCATGGCTGAGCATCTTCTGTTGCAGAGAGAGGAGACGGTTCCGGGAACGGTGATGTACAAAATGCCCAAGGAAGGTGAGCGATTTCCAGATTCCGGTAGAGCAGCGGGGCAGTTCCGGCCCCGCGGGCACACACGGTATTTGGAGCTCCTTGTCGTGGTGGACAAGGAAGGGTTTGACACCTTTGGCAGAAGCATGACTAAAGTGACACTGGAGGTGATGGAAATAATCAATCTGGTGGACGGGCTGTTTTATTCTTTCCACCTTCGTGTTTTGATAACTGCACTAGAGGTTTGGGTGGAGAAGAACCTTATCAGCGTTACCCCAAACATAACCGAGGTCCTTCATCATTTTAATCTCTGGCGGGAGCAGCGAAGCCTCATGCGCGCCAGGCACGACGTGGGGTGTCTGTTTGCCTCCATGGACTTTACCCACGGCACAAGAGCACTGCACGTGGGTGGCAAATCCGACTTTGCCAGCGCTTGCTCTAGCAAACCTGCCTCTGCTGTCGTATTGTTTGCAAAACAGCCCTACGTGGACACCGCTGTCCACCTCGCCCGTGCGCTGGGGCACGTCCTTGGCATGGAGCACGATGACAGGTTCTGCAGGTGCGGAAACACCGCTAAGTGCATCATGAGCACACAGGGCACAGTGAACTATCAATTCAGCAACTGCAGCAAAAAGAACTACTTGGATTTTATAGCCTCAGGGCAGGGATTCTGCCTTAATAACGCCCCAGAACTGGTAACGCCGTTTGCACTGCAGCACTGCGGGAACGGCGTCCTGGAGGATGGGGAAGAGTGCGACTGCGGCTCAGAAGCACAATGTAAATTGGACCTTTGTTGTGACAATACCTGTCAAAAAAGAGGAGGAGCCATTTGCGCTTCTGGAGGCTGCTGTAAGAATTGCAAGCTCCTTCCAGAAGGAGAAGTGTGCAGGAGGAGCACCGACCTGTGTGACCTGCCCGAATATTGCAACGGGACGTCTGAGCACTGCCCGGGAGACGTGGCCAAGCAAGATGGGACTGTGTGCGCCGAGGACGGGTACTGTTACTCAGGCAAATGCCGATCGCCCACGCTGCAGTGCGTGAGTATCTTTGGCAAGGAAGCAAAGCCTGCTCCGCTCCCCTGTTTCCAGGAGGTGAACACGAAAGGGGATCGGTTTGGCCATTGCTGGGGAGATGGGGCAGACATCAACTTTCAGAAATGCGAGCCAGACAGCGTCCTGTGCGGGAGGGTGCAGTGCACGAACGTGGGACGTCTCCCGCAGCTGGACGATCACACCACCATCATCCAGACGCCGGTGGGTGACAGCTGGTGTTGGGGCACAGACTACCACTTGGGCGCGGACGTTCTGGACCCTGGCGCCGTTAAGGATGGCACGCGGTGCGGGGAGAAGAAGATCTGCGTTAATCGGACGTGTGTTTCCCAGGAGAAGTACTTGCCATCCCGCTGTTCTGCCAAGAGAACGTGCGGAGGAAAGGGCATCTGCAACACGAGAGGAAACTGCCACTGTGACAACGGCTGGGCACCTCCCTACTGCCAGTTCACTGGCTTTGGGGGAAGCATTGACAGCGGGCCTGCACCGGTCACTAAAAAGGGGCTTTTGGGGTTCATCATCGTGACTAATGTAATAACTGCTGCTGTTCTGGCGCTCACAGCACTTATCATTGTGCAGGTGAGCAAGCTCAGAGTAACCCGAGCAGTGACCAGACTCATCGGCTGCTTTGGAGCTAGAGAACGGCCTCCCGAGGAACACGCGAAGGACCAGGCGGAAGAAGACGGCTCAAAACCAGCTGAGGATCAAAGCTCCCCTCTGTAGGACTCCTCGTGGCAGCAGTGGAAAAGCTGGACTCAGTGTCTATATTCAGACTCCGGCTGCAGTGCACGGATTTAGAGTTGATCTAGATGCAAGTGTAGAGTTAGAGGACCTAGTTTTTATTCTGTAGAATAGCAAAATGAACTTGTTTCACTCAATCTCACTCTGTAGGAGGAAGAAAAAGTCATTGACCAAAAAAAAGGCACTGGAGTTAATTTAAAATGTGCCTGGTGGTTACACTGACAGGCTGAGCAAGGAGCCCTTGAGGTGCGGATTGAGGGATGAGGTGCTCCAAAAGCAACTGGGTGGGATGGGTGCTAAAACAGCCTTAGGAAAGCCTGGCTTGTCTCAGAGACTGAAGCACACCAAGTATGTTGAGACATTTGTCGTGGTGGACCACTATCTGTTTTCCTCCCAAGGGAGCAATGAGACTCCATGATGCTTCTGGTTGCAGACCAGATCAATTTATCCGAAACACACTGTTATCCTCTGAAGATTCGTATCTGCCTGATCGGGCTGGAGATCTGGGCACACAGCAACTTCATCTGGTACAGCCAGGATGTAGAAGTAGTTCTTAAAAATTTTAATGACTGGGGATTTCCCTATTTAGGGATCTTTCTCAGAGGATGGACTAGGACATTGCACGTTTATTTACTCACGTGGACTTTGGACTGATCGCTGGGCTGGCATACGTAGGTAGCATCTGCCACCCGGGCTATCGGTCAGGCCTTGTATCGCACACACGGGGAGACGCCATAGCCTTTTCACTCATTTTTACTCCAGAGCTGGGACACAGCCTGGGGATGGAGCACGACGAAAAGGAGTGTGTGTGCGGGGAAGCCACCAAGCGCTCCATGCGGGAGAGTCGCTCGGTGGCACCGAGGCTTTCAGCGACTGCAGCCGGCAGAGCTATTCACACCTCCCTGCCAGAGGGGACGGCGAGCGCCCGCGCAACCTCCCAGAGCCCCACGGGATCTTCTGTTTTAAGCATTGTGGCAACGAGGTGATCGATGAGGGAGAGCGGTGTGACTGCGGGGGCCGCAGGACTGCCGACGCAATCTCTGCTGTCACCAACGCTGCAGGTTGAAGCCATGGGCTGTCTCATGGCTGTCTGCTCCGCTGGGCAATGCTGCCTGAAATGCCGCTTCTGTGCCGCAGGACACACGTGCAGGTCAGCAGCGGGCGAGTGCGACTTGCCTGAATATTGCAATGGGACTTCCGAGTGGTGCCCAGAGGATGTGCACGTGCACGATGGGACGCCGTGCAGCGACGACGGCTACTGCTACCGCGGGAAATGCGCGACCTACGACAACCTGTGCTGAAAAGTCTTCGGGAAGGGAGCTCGGGGTGCTCCAGAAAAAAAGCAGAACACCAAAGGGGATCGATTTGGCAACTGCGGCGGCGATGGGACCGAAATTGCTTTTGTGGGATGTAAACCCCAAACTGCTCTGTGTGGAAGGCAGCAGAGTGTCAGTGTGAAGAGGATACCTGTTCTGGAGGGGTCTGAAACCATCATTCAGACACCTGGGCCCGAGAACTGGTGCTGGGGCACAGCTTACCATGCCAGCATCGATACACCTGATATCGGAGGAGGGCTTGATGGCACCAGATGTGAGCCAAGAAAGATCTGTATTGTATTAACAAGGCATGCACAGACACCACAGTCAGTTCCAAGTGTGATGGGAAAGTTTTGTGTGGCGGGAAAGGGGTTTGCAACAACCTTGGATACTGCCACTGTGAAGCTGGCTGGGCTCCTCCGGACGGCCAGTTCCACGGCCTGGGAGGGAGCGTGGACAGCGGCCCTCCACCGCCTCTCATGATGTCCATGCTGGAGGTTGTCCAAAGCAAGGTGTTTGGGACGGTAATTGGGATCACAGTTCCCATTGCCCTCATTCTGCTTGCTCTCCTCATTGCTGGAACCAAATACAGAAGGGCAATAGCTGCATTTTTCAGGACAAGTTTAGCCACAGAGAGAAGTGAGACTCCTGCAGATGAGGAGCAGAGTGTGGAAAAAGAGGAGGAGCATGTTTAAAAAAACATGAAAGCCTTGGGAAACCCACACACTGAGGTCTGGAAAGGACTGCGGGCCCTGCGCGTTCGCCCCTGAAGCTGGACCGTTTGTCCCAGGAGATTTTGCAGAAAGCGACTGACACGATGTAACTGTGTAAACTGCACAAAAGTTAATTACACAGAACTTGAGTATTTCCTCCTCTCGTATTACCTACTATGTAAATAAGTTTGGTTGGACCGAAAGGTGAAGCTGTTAGAAAATAGTGTAAAAGTTTGTTATTTTCCACACGGCTAAAGATCTGTTTTATTTTCTGTAGAACAGTGGCACCTTAGTAAATAATTCACTTGAGCCTCTAGAAGAGCACAGACCCATTCATCCAAAGTCCTGCTCACCTGGTTGAGGAGAGGAGCTCCACTGGGCAGAAGAAGTTAATGTTTCTGGGTGCTGTAGCTGACCAGGAGTTGGCACGAAGAACAGAAGGGAAATGTGAAACGAGTCGAGGCACAGAAGCGAGCGTTGTTTTTTGGTTTTTTTTTATGCTACCTTGTAATCTTTCATTCCTTGCTGTTGGCTGTTAGCACCATAGGTGTTCTTATTCTTATAGTGAATTAAGAGCCAGAGATTGAAAAATATTCACCTTTTGCTTTACTGTTAATTTGTACGGGCAAATACTTAGAGAAGTAAAACATCCTTTGGCCACCTACCCTCAAAGGAACTGTACCAGATCTCTGAGCTGTTAACATATCATTTGCTGCATTTCTGGAGATACTTCCATAAGGAGAAGGTCTATACTAAAGATTTACCTCGTTTAAAGAATCCATTTACAATCCATAGAAACCTGCAAAATAAATAACTACCTTCACTGCCAGTGTCTGTCCGACAGCTCTGCCCAGGCTCCTCCAGCACTACAGCTAACTTCACCGCCGGCAGGACAGTTCGCCCCAGGCAGCCAGCGCCAGGTCTGCCTGGCCCTGCTAAAACACGATGAGGTCTCGCTGGGACGCTGTCTGTCCTCCTTCGGCGCAGGGATTCATCAGAGCAGGGTGGATGTGGACCCCTCTGCATCCGGCGGACTGGCGGGGAGCGTGCTGGCGTAGAACTTCTTCTGGGAGCGCAAGAGAGGAGTCTGGGTGTCGACGTCGCGGCAGGCGTTGCGTTTGAGGGAGAGGAAGACGTGCTGTGTCCAGCCGTACACGATGCAGTTCAGAAGGCCCTGGGAAGCTGCTGTCAGAGCCTGGGAGAGAGCACAGAGGAGATCAGGGCTCACCCGACAGCCAGCACTGCTCCCTACCACAGGCTGTCAAGCCTCCCACCTCCAGCATGGTTTTATCTATCTGCACCCCCACGTGATACAGGAATCTCACGGTTATTTTAATTATCTTTGCTAAATGCTGCCTCAGGCACATCGAGCAGCCGGACAAGTGTCGTGGAGCAACTGCACTTGGAGACTTTCTTAGAAAGGGAATAAACAAACTGATTTCTGGGGATCCCTTCTAGTCCTATTTTCTACAATTTCCATGGTGCTGTGATTTTGATTACTGAGACCTTTTCAAGCCCGTGAAAAACATTAAACAACCACAAAAGATCTTTGCCAACCAAAAGCATAAATCAACCACTTACGAGCTTGGTGGCTACAACCATGCTTTGTCTAGCAGAGATTAAACACAGGAGGTTGCAGAGGAAGATGTTTACCTGCAGAATCAGAAGAGCCATGTAGATTTTGCTGTTTGTTGACACTGTCAGCTTCAGTATTCCAAGCAGGACAGCTGTGAAAAGGGATGGACAAGAGGGTATTGCTTTAACCCCACCTCTTTGGAGTTTCATTGCCAGGTGCTATGTTGTAGGAGACTGTTGTGAAAATAACTCCGCTCCCTGCTAACCTGGGGCCCAGCAGCAGAAGAATGCGATGGGGTAAAAGACCACTCGTTGTTCCACCATCTTAATCATGGCCCATTGCTGATCCCCCAGGAATCCTGTGGAGTTTACGAACCTCTTGTACAAGCCTCGGGCTTGACTGAGTACAACCTAAAAAAGAACAAGCGTACATCGTTGTTTGCACTTCGTGCACATGTTCTGATCTGGCTTGTGCATCTAGCACAGCGTACCCCGTGGGTTTTTTTAGCCAAAACCTCAATTCAATCTATCAAACCTTTTCAGGCAACAGTGTGCTCCTCAGGGGAGAGCCGTTGCTTTGTACGGGACCTTTTCTGAACTTAAGACTCTGAATTTGGGCTCTTGTTGGCCCACACAGTAGGTGATCTCTGCTGCCGTGCTCTGAGCCTCCTCTACCTACTAAATCCCTTTTGGGGTGGGTTGACAGAACACAGGACTCCAAATGGATTCATACGGTGGCACAATGGTGTTGTCTCCCCGCCCTGGACCCCCCACCCCTTCCGAAAGGGAAACAACCACACAGTTCTTCCCTTGGCATTGCCTGGCCTCTGGTACCTTCCAAGCAAAGCTGTAAAGATGAAAAGGGGAAAATCTTCTCACACTGATCATCTGGGTGCAATAGCTAGTGCTCATGGACTACGTTTCTTACCAGAATGGCTATGAAGCTGATCAGAAAGGAAATGAGGAAGACCCCAATGCCATAGAAATGCATCGCACGGCAAACAGAGCCACTCAGGGTTTGCGGCTCGTTGGTGGGCACGGCTATTTCCGTGTGCATCAAAAGACAGCTGTGGGGAGAGAGGGAACAGGCTGAGCTCCTGCCGTGACTCATAAGCAGTGGGGCTGTTTCAGGGATGCGTGAAGCTTACCCATGCTTCTGGCTGAAGTTCTGGTAGCAATTACTGCTGTTGCCCAGGCAAAACACTGGCACCATGAGAAGGAAAGGGATCAGGCTGGGAGGAGACAGGACAACAGCAAGTTATTAGTTACTGCACTGCCCCCATCCCCAGCCAAACACTACCTGTGTTTTAGTCCTTCACTATAGAGGACTTAAAAATTGGTTTTATCAACACTACTCTGGAAGAGTATTTTACCAGCT